CATTTTCTTCATGGGATGATTGTGAAAAGACTGCATCAGTGCATGTAATAAATTGTAAATGAACAATGATATTTCATATTAATTCTGAGAAATACAGAGTTTGTCTTGTGGACCAAATGAGCAGTTATGCTGTGGTGAGAGAGCCTTATCGGAGCTGTGTATCCTCTAACATTTCAACTTTTTCTGGAGATCCCCCAGGACCAGTGGGAGGAGGGATACTTTGTTGTGTTGGGGAGATTTGGTTCGGTTCATTTTTTTTATTCTTTGTTTGTTTAGCTTTGCTGTGTTTCACAGTGGCAGAGTCTGTCCTATCCTTGGCACTGTGTTCTGGAGGCAGAGCCACAGGGACGCTTGGAGCAATTTGTTTTAGAAAAGAAGCAATGAAGTCAACTCCCACGTTATTGGGAGATAGAGACCAGCTTGTCTTCAAGTTCTCTTACATATTATCTGGAAAAACTGAAACACCTAGAACACTTGCATTTAGAACTTGTTTTGGCATTTCCCTAAAGACTTCTGTGAGATTCCCCCCAACTATCAAACAAATATCTTTCTGTCTGTAAAACTGTCTGCAGAAACAAATTCCTCAGGATGGCAACCCAGATACATTTTTAGTATTAACTTTTTATTATCATTTTTAGTAGCATATTAAGGATGCTTGCGGAAATTTGATTTAGAATTTATTGCAAGAATTCGAAAGTTGGACCATATTTTTACATTTTATTACTGGTTTAGTTATGGACTGCTGTGAAATCTGAGGAAGATATTTGTTATTATTAAGGATTAATTACTTACTGTGGACATACCTGTGGAGCTGTGTTTCTGGTGTTAGTGCTAACTGGTTAACATCTAATAAATCAATGAATGAAGAAGGTGAATATAATACCTGGCCAACATCAAACTGCTTTCTAAGCATGTTAGCGTGTGTATAATGGCTTTTAACTCTTCTCATTAAAGTCTTGCGTCAGCTGGCATGGATGAATTATCTTAACATTGACCAAACTCCATGAAACACATTTGTTACACTTCAATTTAAAAGTGAAATTGTTTTTGAGTTTTACAGCCATAAAATGTGTTCAAACGTGCACAGAAATTCAACCCGTTGAATAATTTGACAATTTCAATTCAAGGCCTCAGTCACACAAGCCTAGATACTCATCAACTACCCCCTGGAAAAATGTGTATTTCCCGGTCAGTTGGTGAATGTTTGCTTGTCACATAAAAGGTACTGCGCACAAAAACATCCTTGTGATTGCTTTGGTCGCAAGCAGATTGCTGGGGTGCCTATTGTTGGATTGAAAATGGCAACTTGTCTACATAGATTTGCTAACTAACCAGTGAGCTGTAATGAAACTTGAACAAACTGCAACACAATTTGATAATGGAAACCATTAATCTTCAAAGTAAAGGTTGTGCCTTACGTTGAAACCAAAATGTTTTAGAAAGTGAGCAGTGTGTGTTTCTGATTTGTGCTGGACTGTTAGCGGTTCGTAGTTGGCAAGAGTTTGGAGACAAGCCTGCGTCTTCCATACAAACTAAGGCTGACCATGACAAACTGCTAGCAACCAAAACAATTGCAAAGTTTTCAGTACAACTAGCAACTTCAACTAGCTCGTTTTGGCCAATGTCACCTAGCAACAGCAAAGAATTTTAGTTTTGGGGGATACACATTTTTTTCTTGGCAACCAGTGGTTACCGTGGAGTTACTGACCGGTCTTTACTCCATGTGTGATTGGGGCTTACATATGAATGTGTCAGATCTAAGTTGTAACTTACACTTTAACCCCTTTAAATTTATGCTGCAAGCTTCTATGCAACCTGAAATGCACCTCCTGAGAAATGTAACTATACGTCTCGTCGACGCATACCACAACAAATTAAATGGTGTGGAAAGTTGCACTGTAGGAATAAAAAGAGCTTGCAGTTAGTATGTAAGTTGGTTTGCCACAGTCTAAGTGGGAAGTCTAAATCAAGCTTTAGTCAATTCCCGACCAGTTTAAAGGTCTGTTTCAATGTTTTAAAGGTATATAATCCAACAGTTAAGATCAGTGTCAGCAGCTCAAAAATATACATTTAAATAAAACATGAAATATTTTTCTCTGTCCTATTTAGCTTCATAATGTGAGTAAGGAACTGTTTCGTTTTAACCTCAGTTTAAAATTAGAAGATTCATCGTCATACCAAGAAGTAGTATACTTTACACGGCAAGACAACAACATAAAACAGATATTAATTCAGTTTCCTGACAGCTACAGCTGTGGCGGCAAGAGCAAGACCCCTGTTTGATGAAACATAGTCAATTAATGAGCTCCATCGACTCAAAATAGACCAACAACAGAGAATCGCAGCGTCAAATCAGCCACAGTCTCTGAACTTGTTGACTTCGCACATGGTAACTCGGTGGCACAGTGATTCACAAGATTGCATAAGACAGATCTAAACAGTCTGTCCAGCGTCTTGCGATGGAAGAGTTCCAAAAGAGGAAGCAGGAAGAAGGCAGTGAGTAGCATTAAGATGCGCATAGATGCAAATACACATACAGCAGTTCAGACATCATTATCCGACATCAGGCATTAAAGATAGAATAGATGCAAGAGGTATGTTAAGTAAGAAGGCATGAAAGAGAAGAAGAGCAAGTGTGTGTGTGTGTGTGTGTGTGTGTGTATGTGTTTCGATGGGGAAGGGGCGCTTCATCTCACTGCAAAACATTTCAGACAGTGAATTTTGTTGGCATGCCTTTCTGAGCAAAGGCATCTTGTGTTAATTTATCTTTCTGCACATCTCTAATCACGTCTCCTGTCTTCTTTGTAGAGTTGTATTTATAGATATAATAAATTGTATACCAATAACGCCTGGTAACTGGCTGCATGCACACACAAACAGACACACAGACAATATAGGTGGACATGGGTAATGATGGGTGCTGTTCTTAATTACGTCGATAAAGTAGTTGAAATAATTGGCCACTTTGATCTGGTACTTAATTTGACATTTATTGGAGTACAGTACTTTTACTTTGACCCTATATTTGACAAGTGAACCATCAAATGCAACTGCCTGGGCAAATACCAAATTTGTGTTACTTTTCCAAGTGGGTTAGCTAATTCTGCATTCGTTTATCAGTGACCTGCCAGCTCCTTGGAAGCAGTCGCAGTAGTTTTGCAAAGCATTTTTCACACTGTGTTTCTGACATTTTGGACAGAAGTAGCACTTCTGCCAAAATAATTTGGCCTGTTTCAGCAGAAAATATGTCAGGAGATGTTTTAAGCTTGTTTTCACTCATTTGGAATATAATTTTTTGGTGTCAGCAAAACATACAAAAATGTGAAACAAAAGAAGAATAATTAAATTATGAAAAGGTTAAACTATTAAACTGAAGAATGTCTGTGAATGCTGCACTGGTAGGGGTGTGTTGTTTCAGGTATCACCAGTGAGAAGTTTAATTCCAGGAATTTGTTTGAGTAACGGATCCATGTGTCTGAACCCTTACCCATTGCTAAAACACTACAGCTCTGTCTAATTCTCAGAGACAACGTTTTGTTACATCAATTAATTTTTGAATATCTGTCTTCTTATATAAATATATTAATTAAAGTGCAGCATAATGCTACTTAATCAACGTTTGAAGGTACTGAACACATGCAAACCTATATCCATAGACATATTATTCAAATAGCACATGTAAGAGTATAGCAAGCTAAATATTATATGCACACAGCCGTGTTCTCAGTGTGTGTGACCATGGCCACCGCAGGTACCTGCATGTGGATGAATCCTGATAGATCCCCATTACCCTGGGTGTGACCCCTCGCCGCTCAGTTCATTAAGCTAGCCACCCAAGTGTTCGCGACTCAAGTCCAGATTTAATCACAACTTCCATCCTCTTGCCAATCACAATTAGATCCCGATAAGCCTCTCCAAGATGGCATCCGAGGGCCTCCACACACAGACAAAGGTTAATTTGCGAGCAGCAAGGGCCCAGCTACAAGGCCAAAGGTCGCCTGATTGAATACATGGAAGGATATGTCTGTGTGTAAGACAGTGGGGCTTGGCAGCAATTACAAAGTTCATCAGTATTCATGCGTTTTATTCATGGGTAATGGGAACATTACCTTCAAAGAGGTGCACTGATTGGATGTGGCCCTTAATGGGAAATAGCTCATGGGTAGTCTTTAGGTGGCTGAAATTTAAAAGTAATTTCTCCACCATTGTCTTTTAAAGTCAGCCCCATTACAGTGTCCCTCTGCTGGCTTGTGAGCGGTTCCAGTGGAGATGTCGAGGGCTAAGGATCTCAGGCCTGTCAAACCTTAATGAATGCAAATCGCTTTCACAGTGAAAGAGGCAAAAATGGTATTCCTGCTGATGTGGTTAAAATCAGTTAAAGGAAAGTAGATTTTTCATCTAGCCCTTTCACATCTCCAATCTGTTTATTCAAGTTAGACACCGCAACGTCTCTTAGAAAAAGAAAGTTGAATTCGTGAGCAATTAAAAGGACATCAAGAGGTGCACACTTTCACCAAGGCCGGTGCTCTGTCTTGTAAATGTAAATAGAAGAACCTGGATGTGCTCCATCATTGAACCTTGCTCTTACTCCTCTCTAGCTTTTATTAAACCCAGCACTGAAATCACACCTGCCTGTACTTCAGCAGGGGAATAAAGCATCTACTTTCCAGGATACAACCGGTACAGCAAAATGAGTCTTACCTTTCTGAGGTTAAATGATCTTAGCATGCATATTAATGTGTCTAGAGTCTTTGCTAAAGATAAGGACATTTCAGAATGCACACATGCACTAGTTGTTCTCATAAGACCTGACACTACAAATTAGCTATTGTTAACCTGCTGCCCTGTCAGCTGAGCTACCAAGGATTTAAAAAAAAGTTCTACACTGCTGAACATACAACATAACACAAATTTAACAGAAGAGACAGAGTCATTTATTTTGCCCTGTTTATGATTTCATCTTTCTGACCTCGTGTCCTGTGGTGCAATGTCATTTCCAGGCCAGCTGGCAGCGGGGACATGTGAGATTGTGACGCTGGACAGGGACAGCAGCCAACCACGGCGGACCATCGCCAGGCAGACGGCCCGCTGTGCCTGTAAGAAGGGCCAGATCGCTGGAACTACAAGAGCTAGACCCGCCTGTGTGGACGGTAAGAGAGAGAGGGGCAGGGGCAGGGGTAGATTCTGACTTAGCTTTGCTGTCATTAAGAGTGAAAACTACTCAGACATGAACACGATTTTCCTCGGGGTTGTTTGGCTTTTACATTGAATTGTGTTTGCCTTGAAGCATGTAAAGAAAATTGAATGTAAAATTAAGCCATATCCAAGCGTAGAAAACTGCATCAACAGTCTCGGGGCAGCTAGATTTTCGCTGTTTTTTAGTTAGGGCTTAAGGTGGATAAACCTACAGTGTGGAGCAAAGTGGATCACAGGGCTTTCTTTATGTTAGCAAAACCTGCACTAAATCTTTTTTTCTGTTTCATCTTTAAAAAAAAAAAAAAGAAGAAGAAGAAGAAGCTCCAGGGGTGTTTCTAAATCCCTCACCAACAGATGGACTTATTTTTCATGGAAGAGTGGCACTTCCTGTGTAATAATGTCAGTTTTAGTCCAACCAGAGTTCTTATTGTTATTGATATTATTAATAGAGAAGAAAAGCAACATTTGTCATTTGGAAGCAAAAATGAAAGCTGCTTTAAGCTCTCTAAATGTGAGTGCTTGCTTAATTTCTCAGGCTGCTTTATCCTAATAATAAGATCCAAAATAATAAGACTGTCATCTTTAGATCAAGCAATTTGAAGTCGACATCTGTGGTTATCTGCTGATATGAGCTGCAATTTCAAAAAAAGAGAACATTTTATACAGTTGCACAAGATAAAGCCAAACTCAATGCCCCGAGTGGAGGCTATTTAGTGGTCATATAAATTTCTGTCACTCTATGGTGATGCAAAAATCTAAATACACTGAAATGTTCTGGGAGAGTGTAATACGTGCAGACATCTTGCAGATGAAGGAATTCTTAATGTTGACTGTCAGAGACTTAGAGACAGTTATTCTAAACAAATGCAAGTAGCTACATGATATAAGCAGAACCGATATTAGCTATCTGACAAGCAATTTGCAATAGCTGATTAATAAAAATATAAAAAGATGTTAGAAACATTGGTTAACAATGTTACAAGTGTTGATTTTGCATATTTTGTCTGCCAGAAGATCCTCTGCAACTTTCATGTTGACATCAAATGTGAACTGCATTGTTAAATCATCTTAGTAAGGACCCATAAATAACTATGCATACAAATGTTGGAGAAATGTTTTAATATTTTGTGTTTCTGAAGAAAAGAAGTTTGGCCGATACATCAGATTTTTACATCACCAGATATTGGTCCTTACAATCCTATATAGTCGGGCAGTAGTTTCCTTATCCAGTTGAGTAAAAAGCCAACTGTGTTTCACTGAGCTTAGTAGCATAGAAATAGCAAAGTCAGCTGCAGCAATTACACGAAGAAAAAGGCTAACATTCATATTTCAAGTGGGAAGTCATTACTGTAAGCGTTGTTATTACAAATCTTGACATAACTGAACTTTTTATTACTGAGATACAACACATAATCTCTGCATTTCCTGAATAAAAGATTAAGAATCCTCACCTTGCAAAAAGCTCTCCAAAATATCAGCATAACTAAACTAAAACATCCCCTAAATGCTAAGTGCTCACAATGTGTTTTCAGATGGTAAATGCATAGTTTTCAATGGACAGCCAAAAGGGAGAGAAATGATCATTACAAAGAAAAGAAACTTAATGGTTGTTTACAGTAGAAAAGGGCTCATTAGTTGTTGCCCAGACATCTTCGCATACATTTATTTAACGAGGGGAAGCTTGAGCTTGGTCATCTCGAGTCCTTTTTCTCGTTATCACCATTCTGGCTCCATTACATCTCAAAGAATTTTAAGAAATGAGGTATCTTCACTGCAGCCCCATGGCCTTTTACTCTCTCTCATGATGTGGCCTCTACACATTGAGGGAGGGGAGGTTGTGTGCTCAGGTGAAGGCAGAACAAATGGCTCTATTATCAAGAAAGACCTGCAGTGAACTGTAACTGTGGATGTCTTGTTTTGCCTGTTTTTCAACTGTGCCTTCACAGTTGTATGCCTGGTTAGAGGAGCTACATATCCTCAGTGCTCTGTTTGACTGTTTTTTACCTGCTGATCTCATGAAGAGACGGCTTTGAACCGTGTTTAAATGGACTGAACGTTAATACCAATTTGTTCAGCAGACAGGAGTCAACATGACATTCGAAATCTGGTCTTTCTCCAAAATCATTTTCTTCCTGTGGCTAAACTGCTTCACACTGAGCTGCGCGTGTTTCGTTTCAAGGAAGTTCCGATCTTATTGACATAACCGCTCGCGCTGTGGAGGCACTTCACTTTTGCCATTAAATAAGCGGTATGCATGTTTCATAAATCCTCAGTATCTTGATAACATCAGGAAGTATTTGTCACAACGTGGACTCCATGGCGCATGGTGGCATTTTGTGTAGGCTAGATATGACTCTTATTGAAGAGAGCTTAAGCTTATCAGCTTGCCTCAAGAGACCCGTGGAGGTGGATGCCAGGTATAACCAACTACTGAAAAAAAAAAAAAGAAGACCGATAGTGTGCATATGCGCTACATACATTAACAGGGCACACTGCGGCATGGAATTTTTTCCTTTTCAAAGCACATTTCAATTTGAAGTGCTCAACACAAAGCATGAAGAAGCTGTTTTGACCATTGTTTTTAGGTGTGTAATTACTTATCCTATATGCATAATTTATTTAACCATTAAGCAATTAAGTACTCTGTTGAAAGCTCTAGGCTTTACTGCATTTTTGCTTTTGCAACTAAAATAAACTAGAATTCCTACCTATGTAAAGTGTGATGATTTTCCCCTCAGTCTTCCTGTTTCTTCTTCATGCTATAGCTATAGATGTAAAAATTCTGCAATCAGTGTTATGTACTGTAGACTCAGATCTATCCTCCTCCCCAAATTAGAGAGGATAGGCCTGCAGTAAATGTAACAACTTATAGTAAATCCACAAAAGCAAGGTATGTATCTGTATGCACTGCATGTAGATTTAGTGGTTCATTTTGCAGGTAAACAGCATATACCCACATCTGTGCAGGAGGATTTTACTATGATCTTAAAATAATAAAATTAACACATAGCTGATGATTTTGCATGTAATATGTGGCAATTGCTGCACACAGGGGACTTTGCAGGCAGTGCCTCCTGCCAGCCATTATAAAGCTTTATACAACATAATAAAACAGCCTACATAATAATCCCTAAATCCCCTAAATAACCTCAGATTTGAAATCTTCTGCTAACTAAAATAAAAGCATCAAGCATTTTAAACGCATGATGGTGCGTTTTTGTATTTGGTTAAAGGTGTGTGTACATGCACGTGTGACTGAATTGAATGTTTGGTTTCGAGCATGCCCGTACGCAGATGCACATCTGTGTACATATTTTTCTGTCAGATAGTGATTTATCAGTTTCCTTCCATAATGTCACGTTGTTTCCTGTCAAAAAACTGACACCCATACACAGACACACAAGCGCTCAAGCACACACAAACACACACTTCTTTATTGCTGTTCATATTACAAAATCTCACAGCTTGATATTATTGCCATGCAAATTTGAGGCGCTTGTCTCCACAAATGCAATCTTATTTGTTTTATATTCAGACTCACACTCGGCTCACTTTGGGAACATTGAAAAAGAGAGCGGGTGGAGGGTGACGGGTGGGGAGGGATGCTGACAGAACAGACCACAAATGCCACAAATGGGATTTCAATCAGTTTTAATCTACTTGAGTCCTTGAGGTCTGCGCTCTGTTGTAATATGCCTTTGCCTTGGCTGACACGATCGGTGTCCTTCATGCTTCAGACTCTGTTCACATCGGTCATTCCATGCATACAGGATAATCCATAGCTCCGTCAACAGCCTTAGACTGTTTCTGTTTCTCGGACGGGACCTGGAAGATGAAAAAAAAAAAGACAGGGAAAGCTGTAGTGGCATTGATCCTGAAGAGCCATCCTCTGTTGTTGTGCATTTCCCATCTTCCACTTGCTCTGTGTGTGTTTATTGCTTTGAGGAGGTGAAAGTAGGAGATAAGCCGTCAACATGATAAGCTTTCTGTTGTCGCGCTGTTTGATGCACGAGTCAGTAAGGGAACGTGCTTTGAGAAAATAAAACAAAACCCTGCAGAATTACATATGTGGCATAAAATGCTGTCTTTCTCTGACCCTTTCCATTTCACATTTTGTTCTTTCCCTCTTCTTCTCCTCTTTGCTTTTTTTTTTTTCAATTGTCTCTGTCACGCGCTGCAATAGTGTCTTTCTTCAATGGCTCTGGCTATTTGAGGCCTGAATCACACCCTAGTGTTGCATAAGTACACCCTTAGTAGCTACAATTTCATGCTCTTGAGCCTTTTTACATCTGTGCTTGATGATTTTTAAGAGAGCTGATAATAATTCTTTTTATGAGGCTGAGAGACCAAGAGATACTATTAGAGAGAAACAATGTTACCTACCCAGACTTGCTGCAGGCGTGAGGGGGCTACAGAGTGAGCCAGAGACTTGGAGGAGCTTGTTACAGGTGGAGTGTGGTGGTGGTAACAGTGGTAGCTCAGCAGGGAGCCCCTGCCTCAGGTGAATGTGCTTGTGTTTGATTTTGTTTGGCTGAAATGATGACATTGATTCAATTCAAGCATATACTGTTATGTCCAACAATAAATGTGCAAACCTCTTTCGGAAACCTATTTAGCCTGGAATTGCAGAAACAGTGAGTGACATGATCGAGCTGTGTGCTAACATCATGGTTAGACCAAACATCAGTCCTCTTTGATATAAGCTGACATTTTTTCCAATCTTTTCAGACTAGAATGAGCATGTCCCACTAACCAGTACAAGAAAAACTTCAAAATTTCTGTCCTTATTTCTGTATAACTACATCATCGTTGAGTTTCACAAGCCATTTTACATTCCACCCTGATTTTAAAAGTTGCTTGACATTACTGTGAGTGAAGTCTTATGTCTCTTAGGAGTGAGTAGTTTCAATTTAATGGTCAAAAATGTATTAGAACACAACAAGAAACACTTTTT